ATAGCACAGAAGGTAGTGAAGAAACAGAAGCTATATTGCCATCAAATAATAAAGAGTCTGAACCTGTTGTTCTAGCTGTTAGTAAAGAATAAAATTAGTGATTAGAGTTTTTTAAATTATTTAATACAAAACTGCTCAGCAATTTTTTGCAATGCTCATCTTTTATCAGATAAGCATGCATTAAATTTAGTAATAGCTATAATGATAATGATAAATTCTAAATAAATAAAAACTGTTTAGGTTATGTGATAAATAGAAAGCCTTTAACGTTGTAATCATTAATTTGAATTTTTATTGTAACCATATTTCGATTATGACGATTTTAATTAAAATCGAATGTAGATATTGTAATATATAGAAAAATAACATAAGTTAATTAAAATTTATCATGCCATTTAATAACTATACTTAATGGTTTTTAAATAAGTTTTTGTGCATATTAAATATGCACACATCACAGATTTTTATGATCATTTGTTTAATTGCTAAATTAAACAGCGATCAGAAAATAAGAGATTAGATTGCTTTCCATTTACTTTTTTTTATAGTTATGATTGCATAATGTAAATATGATCCAAGTATCATAGATGTATGTTTATATTGATAATATTATCATGCAAAATATTGCTAAAGTACAAAAAATCTTTAGGTGCTATATTATTATATTAGGAATGTTCTAAACAGAAATCTAGGTGTATTTCAGCAGTTCATATTACACCATAATATCAGAAATCTCAATTATATTTTAGTTATGATCTTATAGCGTTAAATAATGAAATTTTATTTTTCGCTAATAAACTTAATTTGAGTGATTAAAAATAAAATACATTCATTATTTATATATTTCAAAATCATTAAATTATATTTAAGTGATATTATAATAAATCATTGAAATTTAATTTATATGGAAGATTATTAATTTTTTTATACGTTAAATATTTTTCGTTGTCATAATAAAAAATTAATTCTAAATTCTTAAACATAGATTCATTACATTATAAATTGTTGGATAAAAAATATGAAAATGAATATTATTATAAAAAAAAATATATTATGTGATTATGTTCACTTTTTTTTTCTATTTTTTTTTTCTATATATATATATATTATTTTTTTTTTGGTATAATATTTATTTGTGACATTGTATCTACATATCATTTTAGTTATATATATAAAATTTAAAAATTTTGACCCTATGGGTTTTGGAAAATTAAATGTGATTTATTAAAAATATTTTTACATGATCAAAAATTAATTTGTATGAAGATAATATAATTATAATATTTATAGAAAATTCTGTCTCTAAAATGAAATTATAAGCACAAGTGATTTTTATTAAATGTTATTTTCATTTCTGCTCATTGTAGTGGCATGTATATGCAATGATAGAAGCAACACTTTTTTTCCAAATATCCTTAAAAAAACCAATACTGATTTAGAGATATACCTAGATATATATTAGACATCTAAGCATGAAAGAAGATGAGTATGAAATATAAAGATATAAAAAATATATATATTTATATATGTTTTTAACATATATTTTTTAATCTTATTAATTTTTTCTTAAACATTTGTATATTCCTTTATTTTCTTAAATTTTTTTCATTGTCTTATTTGTTTCACATAATTCAAAATTTAACATTTGCATAATTTGAATATAAATTTCTCAAATTTGAATCGAAATTTAAAAGATTCAAGATATAATTATTCGTATCGTATATAAAATATAAATTTGTTTTTTTAAATTTATAGTTAAATATTTCGAACATATAAAATATTTAAAAAAATTAAATATAGAAAGGTTGTTTTATAAGCTTTAAAAGCTTTTTGTATCAAGTATATATTAGAACAATATAATATAAATCTTAAACATATTTACATATAACGTAGCAAGAAAATATTAATTATACAGTTGTGTATTTAAAATATACGTATACACATATTTCGAGACTGTTTCTAAGATCTCGTATCACATACATTTTTCTAACATAATAAGAGTGCCAGTAATTCTTGTATCATAAAGCACAAGGCGTAAAATATTTCCATTTTCAATTTTATTATTCATATCGCTCGCTTTTTAAATACAAATACAAATAAATCATAAATTTTCAAAGCAATCTGTTAGAGAAAAAATTGATAAAGGTGTATAATATAATTGATTATGTAGGATAAATATATTCATTATTATACTCCATATAATACTTGGTCAATATATATGACATGTATGTTACATCGTATTGTTGTAATAATATAAGCATCCCACCTAAGGTGAACAATGTAATAATTTATGATTTTCATATACTCAATTTATTATGGGTATCTAGAATATGTGGTAAATAGTACACGTATAAATTGCATACAACTTAGTTTTTTTGCATATATTTGAGATCTGCGTATAAAGTTTCGATAAGATCATGTAACTGCCATGACTAAAGATTATTTTAATTTTGAATTGTGTGTGTGTGGGTGATGTATTTTAAGTTAAAATGGGAAATTACAAATAAATACATAATATGCGACGCCTGACTTTATTAACATTTATGCACGATACGCAACGCGTTAATGTGGATTTCGTTCGTTCGAATAAATATTATTCTGCCAATTGGCTCTTAATTGATTAGGGTGATTTATAAAAATGAGATGTTATCAGAGTATTCATAAATAAGAAATATCGTTATTGTTATGATATATTTAGTTCAATTTTAAAAAATGAAACGCGTGCGCGAATAGTAGTTAGAATAATTATTGCATTATTCTACGCATACGCTCAATATTTTATGCGATATTGTATTCAATATGCGTATATTAATGCATTAATATTTTTAAAACTTGTTCGACTTTTATTTCAAATATTAGGCTATAATAGAATTCTGTGCTCACGTTAGACATAGAAATATGAAATATTAATCGAACGAGTTTCAATATCTTGTTTTGTCTTTATCCATGAATCGGAATTCAAGAAAATAAACTATTGAGTGATATAGATAAAGCGTTCATTATGTAAAATATTCAAACGCAATAAAATATTATATTCGCTGCAAATTATTTCATAGAATTAAACAATCTTATACGTGATATTTATAAAATAGAGTATGCGTAAAATATTGCTTCATGGGTGAACTTAATAATAATAACTATTTAGTGTGTTTATTGATCTTGATAAAATATATAAGTAGATGCACACTTTTTCAAATATAATAGAATGTTTTATTTCAAATTGACTTCGATATCACGATAGATTTGTTTCATCAATAAGATAAATAATAACTAAAAATTATTGATTATTTTAATGAATTAATAATAATATGAAAAAATTTTGTATTTATATGGGGACGTGGTATGTATTATGCTAGTAAAATGTGCCGAGATTCGAGTATAAATTATCTCGTGCATGTTCTATCAATAGTTTATTTTCTTAACTTATCCTTACTCTTCAATAGATGACATAATAGATTTAGAATAAATGTGTTTCGTATACTACATAATTAATAAATATTTTTAAGAAATTAAATACATAAAAGAAGTGCAATATGAAAGTACAAAATTTAATGTTTCATTTGAATTTTATATATTTTACAACAAAGGAAAAAATTAAAAAGAAAGAATATATGGATGTCTTTTCCAATATTCTAAATTTTCTTAACTATAAGACTTTCGAAGATGTTTTACTATCAGAATCTTTACTATATGTAAGACCATGTCCCTGATGACGTACTTATATAGCGTTGAACTTTTGAATAATATTATCTACTAATAAAAAAAAGCGATTTAGAACCATTTAATGTTATACAATTTTCTAATCACTTTAACGTTATTCTGAATTTTGTATAATCGAATTTCCGTATTCGAACGACGAATTCCATATTCTTATGAATCGATATTTAATGATGGATATGAAGTAGATCCAGTAGTGATCTGATTTTTGGCATAATTGTAGGGTAAATGTACATATAATTATTTTCCAAAAAAAAAAATACTCATTGTTAAATGTATATGAAGCGAAATTGTTATAGATAAGGCTATTATCGTCATTTATATTAATTGAGATAATAAACGACGTTTCGATTAAATAAAATTTTTTCATGTTAATGCTTTGATTTTTTTTTATTTATTTATTATATATATTTCTACATAGTATATAAATTTATCCAAAAAATAATAAAACAATTTCTTTTTATAAATATTTTATTTTGATTAGATGATATCATTTATTAATGTTATCATCTATTATAGTTTATTTTAGAAAATATTTATGCCTATTTAAATTTTGAAAAAATTATTTTTATTCACATAATTATTTTATTTGTTCTTTAATATGAAAAAATGCAATATTAAATATTATCTATTTTATTTAAAAATTTGTTATATATATCTCTATATTTATTAATCAAAAAAAGATAAAAATTAATTTAAATTTTTTACTGTTTTTAAATATTGGTAAAAAAAAATTAAATAACAAATTGTTTAATTTTTAATATAATGTTACAAATATAAATAATATCTAATAAAAATATATTATTAAAATTTTTATTATTTGTACACAAATAAACATTACAATAATTTAATATAAAATTTTACACTAAAAAAAATACACTTTTATTTCATCATATGGCATCATAAATTTAATAATAAATTAGCATATAATAATAAATGCAATTATATATATAACTATATTATATAGATATTAATTTTATATATTACATATATCATATTAATTTTGAATGCATTTATCAAATAATATTTTTATATATTTAATAATCCATAATAATCCATTGAGTATAAACAATAAATTTTATATTTATATGTTCAAATCGTAATTATAAATAATTTGTTAGTATAATAATATAAACCATAATTATAACCATAATTTTCTTCTTTCTAACTTCTTTATAAAAATATATATTTTTAATAATGTATACATGTACATTTATATTATGTTATTAATGTTTTCATTTGACATATAGAATATAGCTGAAGCGCCGTCTACCTGTTGCATTTACGACTACAAATATCTATATTTCAGTTTCATCAAAAATCCTTCAGGAGAACGAAGGACTAATTGGATTTCTGGTTCGAGATTTTACCGTTATGTCTTTATTGTATATATATTCATACTTGTAAATATTAAAATGTTTTAAACATTAATTTTAATTTTAAGGTATGAGAAGATTTCATAATGTTTAATATGCCTCTGCGTGTTATACGTTGCTCCAGTAATATTTCAGCAATCTTAACGATTCATGTTCTGGAAATGTAATTTTGTTAAGCTTTAAAAAATCAGAATGGCTTTTTTGTGTCCAGTTCGTATACGACGAGGAAAGAAAAAGAAACGTAAGTAATAAAATATTGAATTGAATAGAGGAAAAATTTTTAATTAAAAAATTTATATCAAAAATTATATAAATATGTACACATATAATATATTGTATATTATATTTTAAATTATATATAACATAATTGCAATATATTACATTTATAGTTAATCTTTTTTGTATATATTAAATATTATAAATATATTAGATATATTAAATAATAAAAATATATTAGATAAAACTATTAAGAAATAATATTAATAAAATATTAATAAATAATAATTAATTTATAATAATTTTTTAATACATTATTATATTAAAATAATTTTTTTGATAAATAATTTTGCTAAATTTGCTACTTTTTATTTTATAATGATAGATAATATAGTATTAACAATATTTTTTATATATTTTATAATTTCTTTTCTCATCTTTAAAAATAAAATCTTTTTGAACATTTGAAAATTTTAAATTAATTTTTAATTTAATTTTGTTTCAGCCGGAGTACATAATTTCAATTTGGAAAAGGATTGTACTGGAACAGGAGGCACAGGTCTTGGTTTGGGAACAAAAGTACCATTACCTCCTGGTCGTATAACAGGAAGTGCTAGTATTGAAACATTAGTTAGAGTAGGTATAGAAAAAGAAAATGGTTTATCACCAGATAGTAAAATGGTTATTGTTCATGATTTTACACCATGTGTTGATGATGAACTTCAAGTAAAACGGGGCCAGGTTAGCAATTTTTTTCTATTATATATTTTTTAAATAAGATTAAAACATATGTATGTAAAGTAATATATATTTATTTTAATTTTATATTCTCATATTTACTTTATGTTCATAAGTTTAACTTTAATTTCCTCTCTTGTATTGAATATATTGTATCTTTATCAGTGTTATTTTGTTTTTTTTTTTTTTTTACATTGTTTTAGGTTGTAAATGTTTTATACAGAGAAAATGATTGGGTGTACGTAATAGCAGCTGATACACGTATGGAAGGTTTTGTTCCACATTCATATTGTGCACCTTATACGTCTCAGCTTGCTGAATTAACACTTGCTACTCTTAACAATGTAAAAAAAAAATTGCCAAGATCTAATGAAACTGATTGTGATTTTACCGGTACAGGTCGTTCACAAACAGTAGATGCACAACAAACTGATACTGGATCAGCATCAGACTGTGAAAGTTATACTCGTAATATTACCACTGCTGATGTAAATGTTAATAGATCTAACATTACACAGTCTCAAAATTCTATTCAAACTATATCCTCTCAGCCAGATGTACATCCTTTTTTTAAGGTACATATATAAATTTAATTAATATTTTAAATTTAATATTTTAATTTTATATATTAATAAAAATAATTATTATTAATATATAATATACCTATATAGTAATTTTTAAATTAATTACATAATAATATTTTATTATATATATATTATAAATTATATACATATTTATATATATTATATATATATACATATATATTAAATAATAAAAGATAATAACTGGATACTAAAAATATAATAAAATATATATTTGTATCACATACATTATAGGATCCATCAGCTGGAAGGTACATTGTACTTTATACCTTTGTGGCCAGAGATGAAAATGATGTTAGTGTAGAAAGAGGTGAATTTGTAACTGTACTCAATCGAGATGATCCTGATTGGTTTTGGGTACTAAGACATTGTGATGGTAATGAAGGATTTGTACCATCTGGATTTGTCTATCCAGGACATGTTCTCCATTCATATGCAACTACAACTACTACAACCACTACCACTACTACTGTAGCTACTACATCAACAGAAACGCATGCTTTAGGTTGGCTTAATTTTTTTTAGTAAAAATTAAAATTAATAAAACAGAAAAATTTAAATTCAAATTTAATTATATAATATTATTTGATATAATATAAAATTTTAATTTCTATATTTAAATTCGATTAATATTAATATTTATTTAATTATTAATTATTAATTTATATTTGTTATTTCATTTTAAGGAAAAGGAATAACAATATGTCAGGAAATGAATCATTACAACAAAAAGGTTTACGAGATTTTCGAGATGAGACAAATGGCACGGAATTAGTGGTACTTTACGATTATAAGGCGCAGGCGCCAGATGACTTATCTGTGAGAAGAGCTGACTGGATATATGCGGATTTAGGAAATCAAACTGTAGATGGTTGGTTGTGGGCATACGCGCCTAAAACTCGTAAATATGGATTTATTCCAAAAGCGTATGCTCGACCTCCTGCTATGACGAGTTTATAACATATCAAACATACTTTTCTCTAACATTTATATATATATTCAAATAATAATATACTATTACATAGTATTACACTTCAAACGATACCCAAAATTTGGATATATATCAAAGGTACGATTTTTTCTGTGTAAGTATTATTCCTGCCTTTAATGGGCGTTTTAATTAATATTGAAATTTAATTTAATATATCACATTTGTAATATATTTAATGCACAGTAACATTGACATTGAGTGTAGCACAATCTGATGTAATGTGACTGAGAAGACCTTCATGTAGAACTATGCAATCACCTGTTGAAAAAATGTCTTGAGGACATTGAGCAGTTCTTAATGAATTCACTGGACCTGTATATGTTAGGCAACGTAAGCCTTCATTATCAATCTTGTCTACAGCCTGTTATAAAAGTAGTCAAATATGCATATCATTTATTATGTACATAGATATTAATCATTTGTTTAACTAAATATTTGTTTGTTAGCAAAATTATATAATATACCTGAATACTACATAAAAGTTTGTTTGTTGTATTTCCAATATCCAGTCCAGCAACCCAAGCGATAATTATATCTTTCTCACGAAAATTTTTCTTTTTATTAATCTTGTCATTAGATATACACTGATCTGTACAATGTAGCCGAGCAGCTAATACTGGTAATGGTAAACGATTTCGATATTTTGGGTTGATTTGACTACCATTAAACAATCTCGCAACAGGTTCTCTTAGTGTAAAAATTTAATATTAAATTGATTGCATTTTTAAAATATTATATGTCTTTTTATACATATACTTGATATATCTAAAATCTTTTTATTACCATTAACAATAAAAAAAATTTATTTGAAAAGAATAAAAATTTTAATTAGAAATTAGAAGATTAATTCAAAATTTTTAAATAAATTATACATAAGTCATAGAAAAATAAATACAATAAAATAATATAATTAAAAAATATATTATTCTTCAATTCTCTTCTAAATTATTTTTTTTATATTGTTAATAGTGATAATAATTTTTTTAAATGTACAAATATTTAACATTCATTTTTATTTATTTATTTTATATTTGAATGAAAAAGATTTATTTCTATAATAATAACAGTAAATTTTGAATATTATATTAAATAAAATATATTTGTTTATACTCACGAGAGTTTACCGGAAACTAAAAGGAGAGCCAGACATCTACTAGAATTGGAAGATAGGGCACTAAAACTGACGATGAGTGTACTTTTAATACCTGGCTCTACATTCAGGATAGGTACTTCCGGATGATCAAAAATGAAATGATGAGTTAATGCTGAAAAAGCTACGTTTATGGCACAATCAACTCGTGGACAGCGAATCGGTCTTCGAGAACATTCTGCGCTAATTTGTCCGCTAACTTTTGCTTCGGACATATATGACTCTGTATTTCCTTTTTTAAATAAATTACAATAACTTTGTCGTTTCTGTTTGTCACAATTTTTATTTCGTAGTTCGCGCATGTTATTTTGTTCTTTAATTTGGTCATAATCGGATATCTCTTCAAAGTAATCATTGTAATATCCTAATGTATTTCTTTCGATATTTTGTGTTGTACATGGATAATTTTGATTCCAAGACTTGTTATATGATTGTTCAATGTCAATAGGGATGTATTGCTGTAAATGTTGATGATGCTTGGAATAATATTCCGATTGTTGTCGTGGAATTTGCATTCTCTTTAAATGTGTGTATATTGAATTCAAACTAACATTACTTTCTCGTGATAAATTTATATTTGATTGTTGATACTGTGCATGACAAAGAATACAACCGGGATCTGCAATATATAATTTTTATTTCTATCAACTTTATTCTTTTTAAATAAAATGATATATTCTGACAAAATGTTTCAAGATGAATGTAATGATTTGTTATTGATGACTGCTCAAAATTATTCAAAGTCAACTAAAATGAGAAATAAGTTATTTTTAAAAATTAATCAAGCATTATTAATAAATCAATCAAATAGATTAATATTGTTTGTTAGGACAAAATCATAAATGAAAATCATATCAACTTCTTTCACTTTCATACTTTCATTTCGCAAGATGAATATTATAAATCCGTACTTCGTTCGATGATACATATATCTTAAAATAATAACAATATTTATGAACAGATATGAATTTTAAGTTATACAATATGAAGTTTAAGTACATATTATTGTATATTATTGTGTAGTACTATTTAATGATTCTTAAGAAAATAATTATAAAAATGATATAACAACGATCAATGAAAATTTTTTTAATTAATATATTTTTCATTGTAATTGATTTTGAATAACCATTAATTATAATTCATAGTATTCATTTGAAAACATTCATGGAAATACTTTACTGAAAGTTAAAAAAAATTAAAAAAACATTAAAAAAAAAAATAAAATTGCTCTTCTATAAAAAAAAGTGATTAATGTCAGATTATGTATTTCTCCAAGTAAAGTTTAATTTATTATTAAAAACAAATGAGATATTCATAATCATATTCCCGTTTTAGATGTCTCTGTATATTAATGATAATTATTTTATTAATTTGAAAAGATTATGTTAATTAACCTGATTGAAGCGCAAAGTGTTGAATACAACGTTGACATACAGCATGACTCTTTGAACAAGGAATATATTGACTAAAATTAGAATTTATATTTCCAAGAGCGAGATGACAAATAGCACAGAGTCCAAACATCGTATTCCCATGTGGTATCAGTAATTCTCCATCTTCTTTCATATCTTCTTCGCACTTTATTTCTTTCTCTTTGGTCGTTCCAATTCTAAAATTTTTGTTTTCTTGTATCTTCTTTTCATCACTTTGATCTTTCAGTTCTGCACGCTGAAAAAATTCTTTCATGCTACTATTACATATAATCAAATTGTAAGTTATAATTTTTAATTCAGATTTTATCTGCCTATCACATAATAAAAATATTATTCAAAATATAATCTTTCTATTTAATGGATTCTATTGCGATTTAAGTTAAACTAAGTATACATATCTTAAATTATTTTCAAATATTTCTTTACATAACACATTAATACATAAAAAATCCATATGCTTCAAAGAAATTAGATTTTAATCTAAATGTATTTTCAATTTATTTCCAATTTCTCGATGTTATAGCGTAATTTTATTTAAATAAATTATGAATTGCATTATATAAATAATAAATATTTTTTATAAAAAAAAAAAGGTTTTTTTGAAGTCTGTAAAAAAATTTATTGTATATTTCAAATATAAATATACGATAAAATAATTAAATTATTCCTTAAAATAGAATATTGCTGGTAAAAAATTAAAATGGATCAATCTATTTATTCACAATTTCGAATCTCGTCTCCCTTGAATACTAAATCACGTGCCTCGTTCTGATTCTTTATCGGATTGCAGTTTGCTTTGTTAACTCGATGATTTTCTTTATCCATTTTCTTTTCTTTGGATTCTCGGGTCAGCTCGTATATCACTTTGAATAACTCTCTAAATGTTTGCCTATTGTATGTAATAATGCACTTCTTGTTACTGTAAAATGTAATGAATATTATTATAAATTTTAATTCCGTTTTTTTTATTTTTTTTTAAATATTTTTCTAAAATAGTTTTTATTTTTTTGCAATATCAAAATAGATGTATAAATGTAAATATATTTCATAAATTATATTTTTTTCAATATATGTATATGAAACAATGATAATTTTTAAAATTTTAACAAATATATGACTAAAAAAATTATGATAAAATAATTATTTATAATATAATTATTATTTTTAATTCTATCTTTAAAATACACATATATAATTAATTGAATTACTAAATATGTTATAAGTTCTTCTTTGCCATTTTTTTATTTACATATGAAAAATAAAATAATTTAATATGTGTAATATGTACATAATTTAAAATGATGACAGATTTTTACAATAAAAAATTTAGATAATTACCAGATTAGAAAGTATTGCCAAATATGCCTTCAATATCGTATTCACAATTATTTTTAAATATGAATATTTTTCAATTCTCTTGATTTTAATAAGTTTATAAATAATATAATAGTTTCAATAATATTTTCGAATAAATGGATAACTTGTGTATATAAAATGTCTATTAAAGTCTTTGTGTTTTTAATTCGCTACAATTTATTACTTAAAAACGTTTCACGTACATTGACGAGATAAACTGCGATACGTATGATTTGCTTATTACATTTGAAAAACCATTTTGACATCTATCTTCTTTGTCACTTTTCGATACCTTCAAATATTTGAGAACTAGACTTTGAAAAAAACGTATTTTTTGATATTTAGATTATTATTATTTTTTCTACTTTTATCTATATTTATATTATTATATCATTATATCTATAAAGTTTTATTTAAACCTTTATTTTTAATCTTTTCTTTTCAAAGTTTTGTCAAAAAAATAATTCAACGATTATAAGAAATTTAAATATATTATTTTATTTACATCATTTGCAATTTTATTATGTATTGCAAAAAATTAATGTTATATTTCATGTAATGTTTATGTAATTATCTATATTTAAAAATTCGGCATTAAGATATAAATCTATCTTTGTCCTACTGTTAATTACATTTAATTCAACGATAATTTTTATGTTCACAGCTAATAATCGATTGATCATTAATAACTTGACATATTTATAAATATGATTAAAAGCATAATACAGAACTATATATTATATATAAGCTAATTAATATATCTTATATATAATATATAAAATAAATCTTATTTATTATTTTTATTAATAATTCTTTGTAATCATTTTAAAAAATGAATATAAAATTATTTATTATTAAAGTAATTGTTAATTGTAATAAATATTAAATATATATGTAATAATTTTATATATATTTATTTATTATTATATTTTTGGAAATATAATTAACAAAGATTTTTTCAATATAAATTTCTTTTGATATATGAAATTGCATAATTCAATTTAGAATATTAATATACAGAATTTTTTAAAGTAAATGATATAAATAGTAATTAGCATAATTAAATAAATTAATATCTGTAAAAATTTTTTCGGATTTTTTTTATAAATATGTTAATAAATTTTTCCAATATTATAATAATATTCCAAATATAATAATATAATAACAATAAAATTAATAATATAAATAAATTAAATAAATTACTTAATACAAAATTTTATTATTATAATGATCGAAAAAGAAATTTCAAAAAAAATAATATAATATTTATTATAATGTGAAAATTAATAATATATACAATTGAATAAAAAGAGTATATATAATTAATAACAATTTTAAATATAATGAAACAATAATGAAAAATAATTTAATGCATAATTGAATACAAGTACAAATAATGTATTTGTTACAAAAAAATATTATCATAAATATATAATTTTTCTGACATAACTTCATTTCTTATATGTACATATATAAAAACATATTGTACAATTTTTAAATCAATTGCAGTTAAGATGAGATTCATGTTTTACATTAACATAATATAATTATTTAATTTTTTTTATTTCTCTTTAATAAATAATTTATATTTATACTTACTTTATTGGGTATTCATTTGAATAACTTTCAACATAGATATCTTGAAAATTCAACCCTTTCCCCGAAAATACATGATTTTCGAGATATCGATGTTGGATGTTTCCAAAAGAACATCCTATACACATATAACTTATCAAATAAAATTTATATGATTATTCGATATTATTAATTTTTATATAAATTAAAGTGAAAAATAATATATTTTAATTATGTTTAAACTTATTAGAAAATTATGAAATATTTAATATATCACATTTATTTAATTTGATTATATCTTTAACTTATAAATTTAGAAAATGAACTATCTTTTAAATTTGGTAACATTTCTGAACTTAAATAAAAACTTTTTATATTATTTAAATGTAAATCATCCCATGATACAAAATTCTGTTTTTCACTTAGATTAATCATACTAATACTTTTATTTTTATTATTGATCAATAAATTATCTTTTTTAAATAATGGTAATTCATTAATAATTAATTGTTTTTCTGATAATTTTGAAACAGAATATTTACTAGAATAAGATAAATTTGTATTTAAAGATTGTTCATTTGATAAATATACAGCTGATTTTATTGGCGATGAACTAATGTTAGAAGGTAAGAATTGTGTAGAATTAGACCTAAACCATTTTTTTTTCGATATCATATCCGTTTTTAATTGTAAATTTACGGTATTAGAATTGATTAATTGTGCATTTTGCAATTTTGTTGCAACATTTAGGCCATTATCATTGACTTCTTTTACTACAAACGATTGTATATACTTTAAATTCGTAACATTATCTTTGAAATTTTCAGTCTTATTATCTATAATATTATCAAAACTTTGATATTTTTCTATAAAACTGGTATGAAGATTCGAAGATAGATTAAGATCGCTATTACTTTGAGATTTATTATTACTAAAACCAAAATTGAAAACATTATTTGGCACATATTTTGCTATTCTCTGATGTATGTTCTTTTCCATGAATTTCGAGCTTAAATTAAATATATTTATTTTCATAGGGCTACTATTTAATGATTTTGATTTACTATCTTTTATATTAGTTTTATGTTTATTTAATTTTGAATCGTTTAATGTATCCTTACTTGGTTCTTCAAAATATGTCATTAAAGACTTATTTACAAATGGATTTTTCAAAGTTTTAAAATCCTTAAACAGATTTTTCGGTTGCTTTAAATTTTGAATAGAATGATCTTTATCTTGAGAAAATTTATAATTTAATTTTTCTAAAAACTTATTTGATTTTGAATTCTCTTCATTATAAAAATGTAAATTGGTACTTTCATTTTTACTATCATGATCAAGTACAGAATTCTTAAGAGATAAATTATTCAAATTTTCTAAATTAGCTTCTAGCTCTAACTCCCATTGAGAAGATATTGCTTCACTTCCATCAACTGATCTTTTTCCAAGATATTCTATATCTTCTTGTAATTGACAAGAATTCTACAACATAACAAATTGATAAATTGATTAATTAATTAAAATTAATATTTTTAAGTACATTATCTTTTATTACAAGAAAGATTACGAAGTTTTTACTAACATCATAATCTTGTATTCTACTATATTTCTTCATTTGATTATTCATAATATCTTTTATTCTATTGCTATTTGATTGATTAAATTCTATGTCATAATTTGAAGTCTTTTGTGGACTAACTAATTCCGCACCAACACCTGGTTCTCGCGGTCCATTAGCTATAAAATCTAAAAGTATAACAAATATAATTATTTAAAAAATATTGATATAATAGATTTTAATTTAAATTAAAGTTGTATACTTTTAATATAAAGTTATAGAGATTTATATGAAATTATTGATTAAAATAATATTAAGCAGTACATGTACCATAATCCTGGCGCTGTTGATGTATTTGATTACTAATTTCTTCTAATCTACGGAGACTTGTGGCATAATTAGATTTTGCATCTTGTATTGCTTTTTGTAAACATTCAACTCGTTCTTTTTGAGTTGCTAACATCTGATCGCATTGTGCTTTAACTTCAAAATATGGTCGTGCTTTTATTATGGAGCGATGATGTTTTTCTTCTAATTGAAGTAGTTTTTTTTCAGCATCATTAAATAATACTGCTCTTCTATAATGTTCTCTACCACATTCTGCTTTTTGATTTTCAGCATCCATAACCTATGATAATCATGATTATATATATTCATAGTATATATCATATACTAATAAAACTAAGTAATTTTTATTTTCTATTTATCATATTCGTTTTATTATATTCATCATCATATCATATTTTATTATATATTTTAATATATAATTTATAAATCAATTTATTAATAACTTACTTTAAGAGTTGCATGATTTAACATATCCTGCCAAGCTTGATCAAAATTCCATTCATGTTGATGGGACATAAATCTACTTTCAGCTAATGCTACAGTTTCTTTTGCTGCTGCATGAATTTCACTTGCTCTTTGAAATAGTTGAGCTTGTTGTTGACATTTTATCTATATAAGATTTAATTAATTATTTTTTAAAATTTAACAAATATTTTCAATATCTCACCTGAGCTTGACGTGCTACTTCAAGTGCTTCATAATAACATCTTGCTTTTTCAACATAACTATTTCCTACCTTATTTAATATTTCTTTTAATCTTTTAGTAGTTTCAGATAATAATTGTCTAAAAGCAGTATGAGCTTCCTATATAATAAATGTTATATTTTATATTAATTTTATAATTTTATAATTTTTTTAATATTTTATATTGAAATATTAATTCATTATGCATTAAATACATATATTGTGTAATATAAAAAAAAATTAATAACATAACTTACATCTAATTCAGTTTCAAGTTTATTTATATCATCTGTTGCATCATTTAAATTTTCCAACTCAATCTAAAAATTTAAAAAAAAATTTAAAATGATTTATATTAAATAATTTTATAAAATATTTGATATTAATGTAATGATAATAAAAATGATAATAAAAAATATACATAAAAATAATTTATATTTAATATTAATTTTTTGCAATATTTTTCAATATGTATTTTTAAATTTTGATAATTCAAAAATTTTTATGACATATAATTAAAAATATAAATAAAATATAGATATATAAAACTATAATAAGAACATTCATTATATATTTAAATATAATAATGTTATTATGTAATATTATTTAAATATAATTGTATTTCTTTATTATTTAATATTTATTTTAAATAATCTGCATCTGGGAAAAATTATAATTGCCATTACATTTTATAAAATATATTTTAATATTTTAATATTTTAAACCTAATTTTATAAAAATACTTTTAATTATTTAAATTATTTTTTTTTTGTATTTCTTATAATAAATATTTAAAAATAAATAAAATATATTATTTTTATAATTAATAATTTATTTTCCTTTATTATTTTTATTATTAGTTTCTTGCTTAATAGAAAAAATAATTATGGTAAATGAATAAATTTGTATTTTTAATTTTTTTAAATTATTATATAATAATTTTTACTATTTTTTTTTTTTACTAATTTCACTATTATTATTATTTTACTAACTATTAATATTAATATACATATATAATATTAATTATTAATATTGAGCATAAAAATGTATACATATAATATATTATTTTCAAAAATAGATAGTATGCAATAAACAATTAAAATATTATTATAATAATATTATTAAATATTATTAAAATTTATAATTAATTAACAAATTTATAATTTTATACAACGAAAATGAAGTGAAAGTAAAGTGGAACACGGTACCAGCCTGTATTAGACATTACTATTGTATTTAGTAATGGGTTATTTACGTATATAACCTATAATAAGCTTTATCTTATCCGTTTTTTCTTAGCAATATAAGAATGAACACGAAAAAAATGATTTTTCAAATATAATTAATTACCTGTATGCGAGGATCTAAAGATCCATCAGCATTATCCGTAACATCCATTCTTTAATTATTGACATTTAAATAACTTGTCTCATAATTATAAAATTCAATTCATTATGAGTTTTTATGAATATGTATAATTCTTTAAATAATAAATAACTTTTATAATAATTAGCATATAAAATTATCTATTGTCATTCATATTTTAAAAAGAAAACGTTAAACAATTACGCACATTAAGTATAGAATACAGATACTTCTGAATAGTAAGCACTAAATTGTTATAAGTGTATATAGGTGTAGTTGTGTAAATAGTACATAGTAGTGTGTGTGTGTGTATATATATATATATATATATATATATATA